CACACTATCTCTCTCTTACACACGCATACACACACACGCACACAGACACACAGACAGACACACTCACTCAGACATGTGCATATGCACTTATATACACAGAGACTATACACACACACACACACACACATACTCAGGCACACAGCTATACAGACAGACAGACAAACACACACACATACACACACACACACACACACACACACAGAGAGAGAGACACTCACTCAGACATGTGTATATGCTCTCATATACACAGAGACAATACACACACACACACACATACACATTCAGACCGCATACACACATACTCAGGCACACAGCTATACAGACAGACACACACACACACACGCACAGACAGACACACTCACTCAGACATGTGCATATGCACTCATATACACAGAGACAATACACACACACACACATTCAGACCGCATGCACACACACATACAGACAGACAAACCCCCCCCCCCCCCCCCCCCCACACACACACACACAGAGTAATGTGATCAGTGTGTGTGTTTTCCGTTGATCTGGTTTAGCAGTGTGTATCTGCAGCTCAGCATAATCAAGTTTTCCCTGCTCTTTGTTCAGCTCAGAGGATGAATATCAGTCTGATATGAGCCGTCACACACACACACACACACTGATAAAATGACTGGATTTAATAGAGATTTAATCACGTTCGGCTCACAGCAAACATTTGCTCTCAAAGCTTTACCATGGTAACCGTGGCGACAGTCAAAATACAAAACTCTGAAAAATGTTGGGTTGTGGTAACCCAGAGCTGAGTCAATCAAGAGCAAACCCATATCTGACCCGACGCTGTTTTACGACAACCCAACATTTTCTAGTGTAAAGCTTTTTTCTGTGGCTATCAGTGCGTAAATATGAAATTATATGCGACATGACAAAGGCGACACGGTGGCTAGGTGGTTAGCACTGTCACCTCACAGCAAAAAGGTCGCTGGATTGAGTCCCGGCTGGGTCAGTTGTCATTTCTGTGTGGAGTTTGCATGTTCTCCCCATGTTGGCGTGGGTTTCCTCCTGGTGCTCTGGTTTTCCTAACAGTCCACACACATGCGCTATAGGGGAACTGATGAACTATTGGTCGTAGTGTATGAGTGTGTTTAAATGGGAGTGTGTATGGGTGTTTCCCAGTACTGGGTTGCAGTTGGAAGGGCATCTGCTGCCAAGAACATATCCTGGAATAGTTGGCGGTTAATTCCACTGTGGCGACCTTTGAAATAGAGAGTCAGCTGAAGGAAAATGAATGAATATGACAAAATCAGGGCGACACAGTGGGTAGTGCTGTCGCCTCACAGCAAGAAGGTCACTGGTTCGAGCCTCGGCTGGTTCAGTTGGCGTTTCTTTAGAATTATAAGAGAATACTTTTCTCTTATTCAGACCATTCTCTGTAAAGCCTAGAGATGGTTGTGCGTGAAAATGCCAGTAGATCAGCAGTTTCTGAAATACTCAGGGCAGCCCGTCTGGCACCAACAACCATGCCATGTTCAAAGTCACTTAAATCCCCTTTCTTCCTCATTCTGATGCTCGGTTTAAACTGCAGCAGATTGTCTTGACCATGTCTACATGCCTAAATGCATCGAGCTGCTTTATTGGCTTTTATAGCAATCAAACACTTCCTTTAAATGCTGAGCAGATTTTTGCATGCCTCCACTGGTGTTTTTGCTTAATAATCTGTAGCGATGAGCTCCAACTCCTCATCACCCGGATCTTTAGCGCTCACCACAGATTCTCAATTAGGTTTACTTCAGGACTCTGGCTGGGCCACTCCAAAACATGATGTTTTTTGACTGCTCAGCATAAATGAGTACACCCCATTTTGAAAAGGAATATTTTGATCCATTTCTCAGTGATTATAGGTCATATATTTTGGTGCATCTGAACAAAACTGATTTATTTGTGAGATTTATTTATTAAAATAATAATTTATAGATTGAAAATCTTTAGAAAAAAAGCATAACACATTTAAATTTTATGCTAAATATTGCAAAAACTTTTACACAAACAACAAAATTGTATATATTCTCTAGTTTTTCTCGATTTTTGCTCTTTGCTACATTTTTGTTTAACATTTTCCCCTAATATATAGATTTGAACTCCTCATTTTTGGACTGTTATCGTAAGTTATTTTGTTATTAGCTCCAGATTTGGCAGACTAATTTGATATTGTAAAGCTTCCTTTGAAAAATATTCATTTAAATGAGAGATTAGTGAGTGGTGAACTCATATATGCTGAGCACTGATTATTAATAATTAGCCATTATCCTTCATTTAATTCAATTTTAAATTATTAAATCATCTTGAAATGACTTAATGAGGTCAAACTGTGATTCTTACAGTCTTTTAAAATGACATCATAAGAGCTCTAAATGCTCTTTGTAAAGCTGAATGACATTATAGTGTCTAAATTTTGTAGATTAGAAAATATATTTAATTAAAAATCAAGAGACAAAGAAAAATGTGAGACTCTGAGAGTGAATTCTGTAACATTTCACAGAGTTTATTTCTGAACCGGTGATTATTTCACATGTATAAAACATTCGATTAATTACAAGAACAAAAGCAATCATTGGATCTGCTTTAGTAGCACAGAAACAGTCTTGATTGGTTTTAGGAGGAAAAGCTCTCTTTAGCGCCCTCTACAGATTCTCAATTGGGTTTACTTCAGGACTCTGGCTGGCCCACAACAAAACATAATGTTTTTGACTGCTCAGCATAAATGAGTACACCCCATTGTGAAAATTAATATTTTGATCCATTTGTCAGTGATTATAGGTCATATATTTTGCTGCATCTAAATAAAACAGATTTGTTATTCAGACAATAATAATAAAATAATATTTTAGGGACTGAATATCTTTAGAAATAAGAAAAATAATGCATTTAAATTCCTGCAAAATATTGCCAAAACTTCTTTAGAAACAACAAAATTGTATTTATTCTCTGGTTTTTCTTGTTTTGTATTCTTTTATAAAATTTTTATGTGATATTTTTGCCCAATATATAAATTTGGGCTACTCATTTTTGGATATTTTTTGTTTTATTAGCTCCAGATTTGGCTTCAGTACTGACTCATCTAATGTGTATGCACAAATATAATGTTATTCCTCTTTATGACATTATGGCGTCTGCATTTTGTAGATTATAAAGTATATTCAATACAAAATTAAGACAAAGAAAAATGTGAGACTCTGAGATTCAATACGTAACATTTCAGAGAGTTTATTTCTGAACCGGTGATTATTTCACATGTATAAAACATTCGATTAATTACAAAAACAAAAGCAATCATTGGATCTGCTTTAGTAGCACAGAAACAGTCTTGATTAGTTTTAGGAGAAAAAGCTCTGGTCTTTATCACCCTCCACAGCCACTTAATTGGGTTTACTTCAGAACTCTGGCTGGGCCACTCCAAAACATGAATGTTTTTGACTGCTCAGCATAAATGAGTACACCCCATTTTGAGAACGAATATTTTGATCCATTTCTCAGTGATTATAGGTTATATATTTTGGTCCATTTGAACAAAACAGATTTATTAGTTAAATATATCAATTAAAATAATATTTTAGTGACTGAATAGCTTTAGAAATATAAAGATAACAAATTTAAAGTCATGCAAAATATTGCAAAACGTTTTTTACAAACAAAATTTTTTATATATTCTCTAGTTTCTCCTGATTTTTATTCTTTGTAAAATTTTTATGTGATATTTTTGCCCAATATATATAATTTGGGCTACTCATTTTTGGACTGTTATTATATATTTTCTTAGATTAGCTCCAGATTTGGCTTAGTACTGACTCATCTAATGTGTATGCACAAATATGATGTTATTCCTCTTTATGACATTATAGCGTCTGCATTTTGTAGATTATAAAGTATATTCAATACAAAATTAAGAGACAAAGAAAAATGCGAGACTCTGAGATTCAATACGTAACATTTCAGAGAGTTTATTTCTGAACCGGTGATTATTTCACATGTATAAAACATTTGATTAATTACAAAAACAAAATCAAACATTGGATCTGCTTTAGTAGCGCAGAAACAGTCTTGATTAGTTTTAGGAGGAAAAGCTCTCTTTAGCGCCCTCTACAGATTCTTAATTGGGTTTACTTCAGGACTCTGGCTGGCCCACAACAAAACATAATGTTTTTGACTGCTCAGCATAAATGAGTACACCCCATTGTGAAAATTAATATTTTGATCCATTTGTCAGTGATTATAGGTCATATATTTTGCTGCATCTAAACAAAACAGATTTATTATTCAGACAATAATAATAAAATAATATTTTAGTGACTGAATATCTTTAGAAATAAGAAAAATAATGCATTTAAATTCCTGCAAAATATTGCCAAAACTTCTTTACAAACAACAAAATGGTATATGTTCTCTAGTTTTTCTTGATTTTTATTCTTTTATCAAATTTTTATGTAATATTTTTGCCCAATATATAAATTTGGGCTACTCATTTTTGGATATTTTTTCTTAGATTAGCTCCAGATTTGGCTTCAGTACTGACTCATCTAATGTGTATGCACAAATATGATGCTATTCCTCTTTATGACATTATAGCGTCTGCATTTTGTAGATTATAAAGTATATTTAATAAAAAATTAAGAGACAAAGAAAAATGCGAGACTCTGAGATTCAATACGTAACATTTCAGAGAGTTTATTTCTGAACCGGTGATTATTTCACATGTATAAAACATTCGATTAATTACAAAAACAAAAGCAATCATTGGATCTGCTTTAGTAGCGCAGAAACAGTCTTGATTAGTTTTTAGGAGGAAAAGCTCTGGTCTCTTTCAGAAACGACGGCTGGATTTTTATCTCCAGCTCTTTTATCACAGATGCGCATTTTTGTATGGGATGTCGGCCGTGTTTTGTGTACGAGGCCGTGCTTTATCTGGAGTATGTGTAAATATTTAATGGCGGATGGACTGTGAGAGCTGCAGATTTGGGCTCTGATTTATGCCAGTGTTTACGATCCGAGCTGAATAACAGTCTGAAAAAATAGGCAGTGTTCATAGAAGCATCATCAGATATCATTTCATGATTATATAACGTGTATTTATTTTCTGTTTGCCATCATCATCATCTTCTTTCGCTTGTATCAATATTTGAATGATTGGAAATGAATCCTATCTTTGGTGTAAATCTTATATACACTGGTTTTCGTCTCATTTATAGTCCAAATATCTTAAAATGCATAAATCAAGAAGCATTTTCTAGACTTGTGTCCAAATAATGTGCAATTTAAATGAGTTTACTTTTTTTAAAACAAGCAAAAATATCCTGCCGATGAGTAAAATCAACTTAAATAAACACTTTTAGGTAACATTTTAGATTAATTAGCCATTTAAACCATTAATTACTGGCTTATTATTAAGATATGAACTGCTTATCAGTGCTTATAAAGTATAATTTTATTCTACATCCCTAATCCTACCCAATACCCAAACCTAAACCCTATTAAGCAGCTAATCAGTTGTTTGAGCTAGTCTGTGCTGTGTTTTCTACTGTTTGTACAATATTTTAGTTTTATTTACTTTTACCATTTTTGTTATCATTATTATTATTTCTGTTATTTTTTTACTTATTTTTTTATGTTTTTTTTATTATTTCATTACTCATCCATTCTTGCTGTTTTAGACAAAAAAAATCAAACACAAATTTTGTTGTATTTTATACAATGGCCATAAACATTCAATGTTGTCTTTTATTTTGTAGTTTAGTCTTGTCTTCCTGTTTGCTGCGTTGTTTTTTCCGCCATTGCTCCTTGTGTCATGTTGTCATTAGTTAATTTAGCCATGTGTCTTGCTCTTCATTGGTTGTCTTTGTCGTGTGTCTTGTTTCTAATTGGCTTTCATGTGATCTCTAGTGTTTCTATACATGTTGCCTTTGTTTCTTGTCTAGCTTTGTTTGTGTAACCTCTGTTGGTCAGTTTATTTATGGTCATGTTCACATTTTATTATATGCTCATGCAACACTCTACTTTGACTTGAACTGTTTTTAAATCCATTCAGTTGATTTCTTGTTCTGGTGGGGTCACTTTTAGCTTAGCTTAGCACAATGAATTGAATCTGATTAGACCGTTAGCATTTCGCTCAATCGGTCGGTTTATTTAAGGTCATGTTCACATTTTTTTTTAGTTCGATGCTCATGCAACACGCTACCTTTCATTAATTTTCTTTTTGGCTCAGTCCCTTTATTAATCAGGGAATCATCACCAGGGCAGAATGAACTAGCATATGTTTTACACAGCGGATGCCCTTCCAGCTACAAACCAACACTGGGATACAACCATACATTCACACACATTCACTACGGTCAATTTAGCCTATTTAATTCACCTGTACCACATGTGTTTTGACTGGTGGTTTTCCTGGAAGAACATGCAAACTCTACAGAAATGCTAAGTGGCCCAGCTGGGACTTGAACCAGCGACCTTCTTGCTGTGAGGTGATTGTGCTACCCACTGCTCTACCGTGACGCCCTACTCTATTTTTTTAAAGCTAATTTTACGAGTTAAACTGTTGACTTAAACTGTTTTTGAATCCATTCAGCTGATTTCTTGTTTTGGTGGGGTCACTTTTAGCTTAGCTTAGCACAATGAATTGAATTTGATTAGACCGTTAGCATTTCACTAAAAAGAAAAAAAAAGAAAAAAACGTTTTTGATGAATTTTCTATTTAAAGCTTGAGTCTGCTGTAGTTACATCGTGAAATAAACCAGACAAAAAATGACAAATGACTAGTTTCTAGGCCAAAATTAGTTTCTAGGCCAAAATGTATCATTTTTAAGAGTTATTTTGTTTGTTTTGCTAATTTTTCAGCATTTCGTTAACATTTCGCTCAAAAAGAAAAAAAAGAAAAAAAAGGTTTTGATGATTTTTCTGGCAATGCAGTGGCGCAGTAGGTAGTGCTGTCGCCTCACAGCAAGAAGGTCACTGGTTCGAGCTTCGTCTGGCTCAGTTGCCGTTTCTGTGTGGAGTTTGCATGTTCTCCCCACGTTCGCATGGGTTTCCTCCGGGTGCTCTGGTTTACCGCACAGTCCAAAGACATGTGGTACAGGTGAATTGGGTAGGCTAAATTATCCGTAGTGTATGAGTGTGTATGGATGTTTCCCAGAGATGGGTTGCAGCTGGAAGGGCATCCGCTGCGTAAAACATATTCTGGATGAGTTGGCGGTTCATTCCGCTGTGGCCACCCCAGATTAATAAAGAAACTAAGCCGAAAAAGAAAATGAATGAATGAAAGCTTAAGTCTGCTGTAATTATATTGAGAAATAAACCAGACGGAAAGTGACTAATGACTAGTTTCTAGGCCAAAATTAGTTATTTTTACAAGTTATTTTGTTTGTTTTGCTCATTTTTTCTTGTGTTCTCTATGATCGCTTTCAGTTGAAAGTTTGTACAAAGCCTTAATTAATGGCTTGTTAAGTGGTGCTCACTGCAGAGCCACTTGGGCAGACCTGAGCTCCAGCAAGGGGGAGCTTAATCTCTAGCTCCTCCTTCCTTGTGCTTGTTCTACAAGTGATGTCACTTGGGGTTGGGGTTAGTGTACGCATTAAAGAGCTTATAGGAGGAGGAGTTGGAGCTCAAGCTCCTCCTCGCTGGAGCTCAAGTGGCTCTGCAGCGAGCAGTGACTTTTTAATTGTGTGAAACTTAGGCTACATTAAAATAAAGTGTGACCCAAGTGTAGCTGACTCACCCTGCTAGCATAACATTTAGCCTGTTTTAAAAAACTATTTATTACTTGTCCAAAAAATGCTTCTCGATTGAAGAATTTTGGGATGTTTCGATTAGAAACGAGACTAAAATGTCGTCTTTTGCAGTGTACACTGTAATAAATATCAGTTAATGAACAGTTTCTGTGTTTTCTGTGTATTTACGGTTGTGAATTGCATTATGGGATGTTGATCTCTGCTCTGTCCACTTTTGATGCTGATAATTCAACTCTACAGTTTCTCAAAGTGAATTTTATTGACATTTGAGTCATTTGAAATAATAATATAATGAATAAGAGATAATACACAGAGAAATAAGTCTGTAAAATAACAGGAAATGCGATGGGAGTTTATTACAAGCTGTTTGTAGCATAATATAGACCAGGGGTCACCAATCTCGGTCCTGGTGGGCCGGTGTCCCTGCAGGGTTTAGCTCCAGCTTGCCTCAACACACCTGCCTGGATGTTTCAAGTATACCTAGCAAGACCTTGATTAGCTTGTTCAGGTGTGTTTGATTAGGGTTGGAGCTAAAATGTGCAGGACACCAGCCCTCCAGGAACAAGTTTGGTGACCACTGATATAGACAATATATCCCTATTAAAAATGTTCATAAAAGTCACCTTTTCCAACTTTTCCAGGTTAAAAGGTCCCATAAAGCACTTCAAAATGAGGGAAAATTAAAACCTGAATCACAAAATATGTCAAACTGCTCATTTATGGATATTTGTTTACAGTGTAGTGATGCATGTGTGTGTTGTTGTTGTTGTTTTCACTTTTTGCTGTTCTCCCAGCCGACCTCAGCGTACACACGGTTCATCTGCCAGTACAGGATCCCCATCAGCTTCGACCAGGAGCTCTGCACTTCTGCTGGACTGAAGCATTGTGGGAAAGCCTCCACCAGCACCTCCAGGATCACTCCGGCCAGAATCTGCACGGTGAGAAAATAACACAAAATGAAAATATGTGTATTTTTTATTGTGTAGCTCCGATGCTTTTCTACAGCCTACCACAGTACTAAAATAAAAACTAGGCTGTTTTATATTTAACACTCGACTAATGTGACAATTTTTAGATTCAAGCCAGTAAAACAAGTTGTTAGCAACCTATCATGACCATTTTCACGATGTAAAATGAGTCTCTGATGTCTCCAGAGTGTGTGTGTGAAGTTTCAGCTCCAAACACCACACAGATAATGAGTTATAGCTCTCTGAATCTGACCCTCTTAATTGTGTTTTGTTTGGTGACTGTCGCTTTAAATGCAAATGAGATTGAGCTCTTTTCAGACGAGGGCGGGGCTAGTAATGCCCGTGTGTCAGCATAGTGGCAGATTCTGTGTAATTGCTGCTATGGACTGACTTATAAGCAGTTGCTAAGGTTTTCTGAGGGGTTGTGAGACTGTTGCTAAGTGGTTGTCATGTTGCTATGTTGCTCAGAGTGGCTTGTAAGCTGTTATTAAGGTTTTCAGAGGAGTTGTGAAAATGTTGGTGGTTTTTATGGTGTTATGTTGTTGCTAGGTTGCTCAGAATTGGTCCTTAACTGTTGATAAGGTTTTCTGAGGGGTTGTGAGACTGTTGCTATGTGGTTGCCATGGTGGTGTGTTGTTACTAGGTTGCTTAGAGTGGCTCGTAAGCTGTTGCTAAGGTTTTCAGAGAGGTTGTGAGACTGTTGCTATGTGGTTGTCATGGTGTTGTGTTTTTGCTCTGAGTGAGGGGTTGTAAGACTGTTGTTATGTGGTTGCCATGGTGTTGTGTTGTTGCTAGGGTGCTCAGAATTGGTTCTAAACTTTTGCTAATGTTTTCTGAGGGGTTGCGAGACTGTTGCTATGTGGCTGATATGGTGTTGTGTTGTTGCTAGGGTGCTCAGAGTGACTTGTAAGCTGTTGCTAAGGTTTTCAGAGAGGTTGTGAGACTGTTGCTATGTGGTTGTCATGGTGTTGTGTTGTTGCTCTGAGTGACTCCTGTAAGTTTTTGAGGGGTTTTGTTTTTGAGGGGTTTTTAAGTGGTTGTCGCTGTAATGTTTTGTTGCTAGGTTGCTTAGATTGGCTCATACGCTATTGTTAAGGTTTTCTGAGGGGTTGTAAGACTGTTGTTATGTGGTTGTCATGGTGTTGTGTTGTTGCTAGAGTGCTCAGAATTGGTTCTAAACTGTTGCTAATGTTTTCTGAGGGGTTGCAAGACTGTTGCTATGTGGCTGTCATGGTGTTGTGTTGTTGCTAGGGTGCTCAGAGTGACTTGTAAGCTGTTGATAAGGTTTTCAGAGGGGTTGTGAGAAAGTTGCTTTGTTGTTTCCATGGTGTTGTGTTGTTGCTAGGGTGCTTAGAAGTTGTTTAACTGCTGCTAAGGTTTTTAGAGGGGTTGTGAGACTGTTGCTAAGTGGTTGTCATGGTGTTATGTTGTTACTAGGTTGCTCAGTGTGGCCTGTAAGCTGTTGCAAAGGTTTTCAGAAGGGTTGTAAAACTGCTGCTATGTAGTTGTCATGGTGTTGTGTTGTTGCTAGGGTGCTCAGAGTGGCTCTTATACTGTTTATAAGCTTTTTGATGGGTTTTGTGACTGTTACTCTGTGGTTGTCATGGTGTTGTGTTGTTGCTAGGTTGCTCAGAGGGGCTTCTAAACTGTTGCTAAAGTTTTCCTTTGGGTTCTGTGACTGTTGCTAGGTGGTTGTCATGGTGTTATGTTGTTGCCAGGTTGCTCAGAGTGGCCTGTAAGCTGTTGCAAAGGTTTTCAAAGGGGTTGTGAAACTGTTGTTATGTGGTTGCCATGGTCTTGTGCTGTTACTAGGTTGCTCAGAGTGGCTCATAAGCTGTTGCTAAGGTTTTTTGAGGGGTTGTGAGACTGTTGCTCTGTGGTTGCCATGGTGTTATGTTGTTGCTAGGTTGCTCAGAGTTGGTCCTTAACTGTTGCTAAGGTTTTCAGAGGGTTTGTGAGACTGTTGCTCTGTGGTTGCCATGGTGTTATGTTGTTGCTAGGTTGCTCAGAGTTGATCCTTAACTGTTGATAAGGTTTTCTGAGGGGTTGTGAGACTGTTGCTAAGTGGTTGCCATGGTCTTGTGTTGTTACTAGGTTGCTCAGAGTGGCTCGTAAGCTGTTGCTAAGGTTTTCTGAGGGGTTGTGAGACTGTTGCTCTGTGGTTGCCAGGGAGTTATGTTGTTGCTAGGTTGCTCAGAGTTGGTCATTAAATGTTGATAAGGTTTTCTGAGGGGTTGTGAGACTGTTGCTAAGTGGTTGCCATGGTGTTATGTTGTTACTAGGTTGCTTAGAGCTGTTGTTGCTAGGGTGGCCAGAGTGACTCCTAAATTGTTGCTAAGGTTTTCAAAGGGGTGTGGGTCTGTTGCTAAGGGGTTGTCGTGGTGTTATGTCGTTGCTAGGTTGCTCAGAATAGCTCCTAAACGGTTTCTATACAGTATTCTGTGGTGTTGCAAATGGCTTCTGTGATGTTTTCTGTGGTTGCTATGAGGTTATGGGTGGTTGCTAAGGTGTCGCATCTGCTAGGCTTGTTGCTAGGTGGTTTTAGAGTGATTGCCAGCTTATGTGAAGCTAAAAATAAGAAATATCAATAATTTATCACAGTTTAGCATGCTTCAGCGTGTCACAGATGCCCCGGTGTGTATAAGAGAGATCTTTTGAAAACAATTAAAACGGCTGCTGCACTGTGTGTGACTCTGGTGTCTGGAAGCACACTGTGTTCATGTTTTCGCTCAGCAGCTCAGTCATGCACGTACAGATCCTGTGTGTCTGAATAGGGAACATCAGATTCTCCAAGCTCAAAGGGATCCTATCATGCAAGATCAACTTCCGGAAGAGGTTTGAACACTGATGTGTGCAGGAATGATGTGTACACTGTCATATTAGAGTGCTGCAAACCATTCAATTCATCTTTATTCGATTCTCTTAATGTAGATTGTTTCAAAGCAGCTCAACATAGATGTGTTTGTGTATGAATTTTTTATGTATGTATTATATCATCTTTGCATCAAATTACAAAAGAAGAATTACCTGTTGTGTGAGGTGTGTGTACTGCAGCATTTACAGGTGCAGGACAGTAAATCTGACATTATTCCAATAGTATCTGCATGCAGCCTTTATGATGCAAGCTGAAACTGCATCACTCAGCGATGCAATGTCAGACACAATGCACTCAAATGGAGCTAGGGACATCACTGTAACGGGTGGGGTTAGGTGAGCATTGGATGCAGCTCAGATTGCACAGCACCATGTCTGCATCCAGAACCCTCTCCATTATTCCCTCTTCTGGCTGCCGTTATCAGTCTCACACTATTGTTTTTCTGTTTCTGAATGTCTTGATAACACCATCGTGGAGTTTTTCTGTCAATATTTTAAGCAAATAGGACTGTAAATAAATTCTTCTATTCAATGTGCTGTAAAGTTCACCCAAACTATGACGACTTCTGCTGCTGAGAAACCCGGAAATGTGGCTCCATAAATGAATCAATTTTAACCTTGCGGAAACATAGTGACCACTTAGAATTCGTTCTGGTGTTTCCTCGTACTCACTTTGAAGTAAACAGGGTCCACCTTGTGGCGCAGCGCGTGTGATTTGCCCATCTGGTTGAAGATGGTGTTGAGTTTGTCAGCATCTCGCAGGTTTTCCACCAGTGTGTTGAGAGCGTTCAAGACTCGCTGTCCGTGTTTCTTCAGCTGCGCGTTCTGCTGCATCTCCGCCGGGTCCTGCAGCTCACGGAAATGCTCGAAGTACTGCTTCGCCGATGGGAAGTTTGTGAAAAACCTGCAGGATCAAACATTCGGTTAAGGTTAATCAATAAACTGTTTGAGCATCCGCAATCAGCTGAAGTCAGAATGATTAGCCCTGCTGTATATTTTCCCCCCAATTTCTGTCTAACTGAGAATTTTTCAACACATTTCTGAACATAATAGTTTTAATAACTCATCACTAATAACTGATTTATTTTCTCTTTGCCATGACGACAGCACATAATAGTTGACTAGATATTTTTCAAGACACTACTAGGTGTGAAAGCATCCTCAATCTGATTAATTTTTATTCATTCATTCATTTTCTTGTCGGCTTTGTTATGATCAAAATAAGAGTCTGAGAGGATCCAATAGCAGGGGTCCGTTCTTCGTACGTGGATTACTCAGTTAGCTGGATTTGGATATTGACGATTTGACACGATCCAGGATCGTTTCCAGGATCGTTTCGTTCTTCGAAGCTGATCCGAGAGTTGTTGTCATAGCAACAGTTCTGCTAGGTCAAACCTGATCGGGAGCAGGTTCAATTCATATAAACAGGATTAGATCAGCTCAGTTCAAGCAAAGATAATCCAGAAAGTATGTTCCGAATACTGATATTTTCTTACAGTAGTAGTTATATACACTTGGGAAAATAGTAAATATTTTTTAACTATATATATATGAAGTTATAGTCATTAATAAAATAAATAAAGTTATACATATTAATAAAACTTATGCAATCTGCACCCTCGAAATGAAAGTACAAAGACTGCCACCTGGTGGTGCACAGAGAAAACTTGAAAAGTCAAAAATTGAAAAGAAAAAAATTGATATTTTTGATCGCTTTAGTACAAATTGTGTATGATAGAAATGCAGAATATGTGACTTTTTTTAAAGCAATATTACATTTCAGCAGTCATAAACATGTTTTGATAGTTAATAGTGATTTGATGCTTCACAAAAGTTGCAGACGCCTTTACCAATATCAAAATGCTTTTGTAAACAACCAGTTATTCTTTACACCGATTAAAAAACGGCTACTGTAATATAGACAATATTTTCTAAATGTAGAACTAAATACACTGATATGCATTGAAATACATGATGAATACTCTTGACACAAGAAAGTGTAAAGCCTGCAGCTCACAACAAATGTGGAAGGTTATTGTGTGTCATATTTAACACGCCGTTTGCTGCTAATTTGATGTAATTTTGCTCACATGGATAATTGAATATTAATCAGATGATGTCATTACGCTGCTGTGCCGTCAGCCAATCGTTGCATTGCTGATCATGATTTCGAGGATCGATAGATCTGTCCTTCACAACACACGCAGCGATCTCAGATCAGTTCATCCAGACATTCTAATCTGATTCGCGAACTCGTTTGAAGAACCAAATTAGCGAGAGATCAGTTATCGAAATGAAAAGATCCAGGATCTGCCAAATCATCTTAGATCATTTAAGCGAGGTACGAAGAACGGACCCCAAGTGACAATGTTTATTTGACAAAGTCAAAATAAACAAACAATAATAGTGACAGGCTAAGAGGACGAAAAACACAGGGCAGGAACAGACAGGATAACAGTGTCCAGGTAATTCTCCTCAGGGGCCTGAGCACAGACAACACACACATGAGCAAGTTAACGAACTGACAAAGAAACATAGAAACGTCACCTATGTTTGTGGTGAGCTAATCAGACCAGCTGAGTGTCGTCATAGCACGTAAGTATAACAAATACACATGGACAACCAAAACAAAGCAAACCCACGTGTTAAAACATACACTCGGGAAAAGCGCACAAACCTGCAACCTTGAGAGGCTTAGTCCCTTTATTAATCCGGGGTCGCAACAGCGAAATGAATCGCCAACTTATCCGGCAAGTTTTTACCCTTCCAGCTGCAACCCATCTCTGGGAAACATCTACACACACATTCACACACACACTCATACACTACGGACAATTTAGCCTACCCAATTCACCTGTACCGCATGTCTTTGGACTGTGGGGGAAACCGGAGCACCCGGAGGAAACCCTAGCGAAGGCAGGGAGAACATGCAAACTCCACACAGAAACGCCAACTTGCGGCCCAGAGATGGGTTGCGGCTGGAAGGGCATCCACTGCGTAAAAACTTGCTGGATAAGTTGGCGGTTCATTCCACTGTGGCGACCCCGGATTAATAAAGGGACTAAGCCGACAAGAAAATGAATGATGAATGAATGAACAATTAAAAACTGCTTTTATTCTAGCCGAAATAAAACAAGACTTTCTCAAGAAGAAAAAATATGATAAGAAATACTGTGAAAAATTCCTGAACCCGTTCAAGATCATTCAAGAAATATTAGAAAAGAAAAAATTCACAAGAGGGCGAATAATTTTGACTTCAACTGTATGCATTGGTGTGTGTGTGCATGTGTGTGAATGTGTGTGAAAGTATGTTTGCTCTCAGCTGAACAGATAAGCGTTCTTTAGATAATCTGCGGTAATATTTAACCAGCGCCGCTCTCGGCAGTAAACTCTGCTGTGATGAACTTGAGCTGGAAGCAGTTGAGCTCAAGTTCATGATAACAGCTTTAACCCCTCTCCTTTACCGTCAGATTCTGCTTCTTCTGTCTTTTCACACAAACACCGATGGCGCATGACAGCGATTTACTAAAAATAAAAACGTTTGTCTTCATAAAATTCAATTCATGTTTATTTCTATAGCGCTTTTACAATGTACAGTAGTTTGTGTCAAATCAGCTTTACATAGTTCTAGTAAAATCCAGATTCCACAGTTGAAATTCAGTTCAATTTCGGTGTGGTTTAAATTTCACTGCTGAAAGTCCAAACACTGAAGAGCAAATCCATCGATACGCAGCTCCACAAGTCCAGATCCAAGTAAGTCAGTGACAGCGGTGAGGAAAAAACTTCAATTGACGAAAGTGAAGGAAAAAACCCCAAGAGAGGCCAGGCTCTGTTGGGCACAACCATTATTCTTCTGGCCAAACGTCCTGTGTGGAGCTGCAGTCTAGGCGGCGGAGGCTGGAGAAAGCTGGACGTCCATCGTGGAGACTCTGCAGGTGTGAGAAGGTCAATGGCGTGTGTTCAGACGGGTGTTCAATGCGGGGACTCGTTTGTCACTGGGGTCATTCAGTAATCAGTCTCATGCACTCCATTCCTCTATGACCACCACAGCAGCTGCTCAGGATACGGCCTGGTCCAGGATTATGGATACCTTGGGATCATCCCTTCACCGGTCCTGGATCGTATAAATGGCTTTACATAAAATAAACTACACAGACGGGTACGCTAACAAACTGAGTCCTGTTTAGAAATGATTTATGAGTTTGAGTGTGTGTTTGTGTGCTGTGTTTATTCATGTGTTGTGTGTACCTATGCATGTGTGTGCGTTTGTATGTGTGCTTGTGTGTGTTTGTTGTCTATGAATTTGTGTGTCTGTATGTGTGTGTATCTGTGTGTTTATGTGTGTTTGTATGTTGTTGATGTGAAGCCACTCCACTTGTCCACTTGTCATTGTCCTGCTGGAGGATGAACCATCGCCCCAGTCTGAGGTCAAGAGCTGGTTTTCTCCAAACGTAACCCCTGGCGTTCACTCCAAAGAGTTCAATTTGAGTCTCATCAGAGCAGAGAGTTTAGTTTCTTAGGGTCTGAGAGTCCTTCAGATGCCTTTTGGCAAACTCCAGGCGGGGAGTGTCTTCCGTCTGGCCACTCTACCATACAGGCCTGATTGGTGGATTGCTGCACAGATGGTTGTCCTTCTGTAAGGTTCTCCTCTCTCCACAGAACTCTAGAGCTCAGACAGAGTGACCATCGGGTTATTGATCACCTCCCTGACTAAGGCCCTTCTCCCCCGATCACTCAGCTTAGATGGCCGGCCAGCTCTAGGAAGAGTCCTGGTGGCTAAACATCTTCCACTTACGGATGATGGGGGCCGCTGTGCTCACTGGAACTTTCAGAGCAGCAGAAATGTTTCTGTAACCTTCCCCAGCTTTGTGCCTCGAGACAATCCTGTCTTGGAGATCTACAGACAATTCCTTTGTCTTCATACTTGGTTTGTGCTTTGACATGCACTGTCAACCCTGGGCCCTAATATAGACAGATGTGTGCCTTTTCAGATCATGTCCAATCAGCTGAATTGAGCACAGGTGAACTCCAATAAAGCTGCTGAAACATCTCAAGAATGATCAGTGGAAACTGAATGTAGCTGAGCTCAATGTAGAGCTTCACGATAAAGGCTGTGAATACTGATGTACATGTGATTTTACAGCTTTTTTGTTTGTAATAAATTTGCAACAATTTCAAAAACTCTTTGTTCACATTGTCATTATGGAGGATTGTGTGTAGAATGTTGAGGAAATGAATCAATTTAATCCGTTTTGGAATAAGGCTGTAACATAAAAACATGTGGAAAAAGTGAAGCGCTATCAATACTTTCCAGATGCACTGTATGTGTGTGTGTGTGTTTAGCTTTATACTTGTGAGGGTGAAATGTCCTCCCTTACAGTGGACACAGAATGTATTCTGAGCCCTCTTTGTTATATTGCAGCCATTTGCTTAAATCATTTGTTCATTTATTTCCTCAATGTACACACAGCAGCCCATATTGACAAAAAAAGAAACAGAATTGTTGACATTTTTTGCAGATTAAAAAAGAAAACCTCAAATATCACATGATCCCGAGATCACAGAAAATATGATTATTAACCTGACAGAAGAACAACAGAAGTCTTTTCAATTCATGTGTGCACGATCTGCAGATACAAAAGCTTCTGTCATCTGACTCTCTGATAAGATTTAAAGCCACAGCTCAACTAAAACAATGTGCTTGTTCCAAATCTGTCTGACTTTCCAGATTCTGCGCCGTAGAGAATTCAAGAGTTCACTGTGTGTGTGTGTGTATGCGTGCGCGCTCTCTGGTTAAAGTCAGTATAACGGAGGCTAGCTAGTAGGTGCTGTGCAGGTAAACCTCACTCCTCTGACCTCTAAAGGTGCTCTAGCGACAGACGCTACAGGCCATGGTCTTTAGAC